TGAATACTTAAGCCGTGACGGGGAGAAGGGATGGGGCGACCCAGTTTGACCAACTATTAGGGTGGGGGAAAGGGGGGGGGGTGTACAAGACGGTTGCACCAGAGAAAAGATGAATGTCAGATCACATGAAGAAGTGTACTCAGGTCGGGTGAGGTATAAAGCAATGAGATTTGGGTGTGAAGTGGGGATAAGATCACTGGTTCCCAGGTTCCGAAGAGGGGAAAAGAGGTGTGCGCTGCAGGCTGCTGGGAAAAGTCTGGCAACTGTCTGTACAATCACAGAGGTCCCTGCAGTAGTGCCATAGCCACGAACCATGGAGAGCACATAGAAACAATTCTTGCAGGCAAAAGGACCAGCCGGAAGCAGATAGCTGGCACTGTGCTGCAGGGAGCAGGTGCTCTTTCGTGATCCCAAAACATCTGTATCCTAAGGCCATACAGCAAGACATATTATGAACAAGTCATAAACGGTGATGAAACTGGGAAATGCTGTGGCTTGGCCTGTTCGACGTCAGTGAGTGATCGTTGACTCCTTGTCAAGGCATCTTACAAGACATTCACCCGCTCTGTTCTGGGGATTTTGAATATGTAGGTTACAAGTTACACATTAGAAGTCAGCACTCAATGTCGTGTGTGCAAACCTGTGACAAGGAAGAGCGGGATGAAGCTCATTCTAGTTCAAATCAGCTAATCTTTTTGATACATATCCCAAACTCAAAAAGTTACAGGGAGATTTATAAAGTTAATGCGTGAAAAAATCACTTCTTAAAGCACCGACACTCATTTTCCCAAGATAAAACTTTATTTGAGGCATCAAGCAATATACTGAAAGAAGGAGTCATGCACATGTAATGTCTTATTTGTAACATCTGATACTTTTTGTCCTTTTAACAAGGGTGCCTAGTAAGCAAGTTGAGAAGCACATATGCTTTATACATATAACAAATCTATATTGTGCTTAAGAAAGTCCCTTTAAGTTTCATTTTTACTTCTTAAAAGGCATGCTGTTTTATTTGGGAAAACTAAAATAATAGTCTCTTCCACTGAGGATAAAGTTTCTCCCCAGAGCTATTTATGAAATGATGCAGCTGCCTTTTCTTTAAAGGATTCTTGTCTTCTGGGATTCCTTTCACCAGAGGTGTCTCCAGAACGCTCTTCGATATAGTATCTTTATTTTTCCGAACATTTAGACACCTTAATACAGGGGAAAAAAGAATAGATGGGGTCAGAGTTTGTTTAAACTTTTTCACCACCTTTTAGTGAAACTTAATAGCATTGAAAACACCAGCTTCTCTTAAAGTATTTTTAAAAAAATGTATATATAATCTCTGTGCTGCACTCTAATATTTTTTTATTCTATTCTATTTATATATGATGCACTCTATATAAAATGCTTTTCTGATTACTGGTCAGGCTCAAAAAATTTGAAAGTCACTGTATTAAATAAATCATCCTCAGCAATTTTTATCCATTGTGCCTCATGTGATTTCCTTCCTCTATTAAACTACAACTACGACATGTCTACAATATTTTAGGAACTAAAACATACTCTGCTTTCAATTTTCCATGCTAATGAGCAGGTGAAATAGTAGATAATCTTCAAATGTTTTGGGGTGTGACATACCACGATTCTCTTACAAGTATTTGCTATTTCCTGGAATTTCACAAAATGATAGAAGCATTGGAAAAAGACTGACTCTGGAAAGGATGGCATTGCCCAAATATCCCACTCTGTGTCTCTGCTCAGAATTCCTTCTTGCTGCATGAAGGAAGGAAATGATCATAATAAAAGACTTATTTGAGGCTTATTAGGCTTATCTGAGACTAAACTTTTTCTGCAATGGAGAAAGGATTGAATAGATTCTTCAGAAAGTGTATCCTTAAGAGACAGGTTGCAAGAGTGAGTTTTTTTAAAAAAAAAGAATAAAAAGGAAAAAAAAGGATTAGGGTGTTAATGAAGGCCTGTATTACTCATAAGAAATTAGAAGTAAAAATTATGGAAGCTCCAGCGAATTTCACTGTAGACCTATTAAAATTTGGAAAATACTCTCATTTAATTTGAAATATATAATAGTGACCTCAGACTGTTTTAATGGTTATCACTAAAACATGTTTGCATATGTATTCCAAAATGTATATAATTATTTGCCTATAAACAAGTACAAATACTGCTGTGTTAATAATATATATCATGCATAACTATAAAACATAACCTGGAAATTATCAAAGGACAAGATTTAAAACTAAACAAAGATAGAAAACCTTAATCGTTTACTCCCATGTCCCAAAAGGTTATTCTTTGCACACCAGTGTGGAGACTTCTGATCTAAAATTTAAAACTAGTTGATGTAGTTATGTGACTTAAAATGTGGCAAAATAAAATCTTTCCAAGTACCATTCTTTTAGGTAACATTTGCTCTCAATTATTGTTGACATTCATAGTGTGTGTATTTTAAATAAATCATCAGAATTGATAATAACCTGGGGTCTGCGGCCCCAGAGACATTTCTGGATAAGATTCATATTCCAGATACATGTTAGATACATTGTATCTGTTCTTTAGCGGCTTTTTCATTGTGTTTCCAAAGAGGTCTGTAACCTCTAAAAGTGGATAATTACTTCTCTGACGCATTGCCTTCTATTATCGAGAGGATATGTTTGACCAATAAATAGCTGGAGCCTGAATGCAACTTGTGAATTTTGTCATTTTGGCCTGAGCAGAGCACAAAGCTCAGATGTTAACAATTTGTTGACAGAATAGTGGACTAGGCATCAGGAGAAGCATATTTTAGTACCTGCCCTATCACTATCTCTGTGGTCCTAAATGAGGAGCTGGTTAGTCTCTCTGGGACTTGGATTTCTTTTGTTTTTGTTTTTCACCCCTAAAGCGAGGAGATTGAAGGATCTCTAAAACCCACAATGCTTGTCTAGCATTAATAATCTATAGTTGTAAGTTCATAATTAAATATTTGAATACTATTATTAGGACTTAGGTGCCATGCTGCTTCCTCTAGCTCCTAAGGACATGTATCCCTGAAGTTTTTTCTCTCTCTGGCACACACTAGGGATTTCTGGAGTTGGAAAGTTGATGCAGCAGGGTGTGTCCCAAAGGGTGGGAGTGGCTGGCAGGGAGAAACTGATGATGAATGATATGTTCAATTTCCACACAGTCAGTTGCATCCAGGTTCCTGGCTAATAGCTAATTTGAAACTTTAAATAGTAGAAGTTGTCTCTTTTTTCTCCTATAAATTCTGTACAGTGATACCAAGTATTAAGATATTCCAACTTTGCACAGGCACTGCTTGACTTTGGCATATACAACTATGTTTAATATGCAACTTCTAAGGTTTACTGTGTGAAAAAATCTAAGTGGCCAACACTTGCTATACAGGGAACTTTGCCATGCATAAAGTGGATCCCTTAAAGTCTCAAGGAAAAGCTTATTAATTGGGGTACTGTAACTTCATTTTTTTCCCCTTTAAACACATTGGTATCTTTAAAGCAACAAACTCCTCAACATGGAAAAAAAGAACATTCCAGTACAAAATCTAAGAAGAGCAGGAATTTGGAAGTGAAAGTTTAAATCTGAGAAAAGAGACATAGAAAGTAAAATGCAAAAAGGCCTTCATCTTCCAATCATCACCCAATAGTAACAAAAGCACTTGTGAATAGATTAATCAGAACTTGAGCAGCAAGGCACATTGCAACACTTTTATTTCCATTGTTTTTCTTTTCTCTTTTCCTAGTACCAAATTGCATCCAGGTTCCTGGATAATAGCTAATTTGAAACTTTAAATAAGTAGAAGTTATTTGTCTCTTTTTTTTCCTCCTATAAATTCTGTACAGTGATACCAAGTATTGATATTCCAACTCTGCACAGGCACTGCTTGACTTTAGCATATACAATTATGTTTAATATGGAAATAAAATCAGTTCAAATTTTCTTGCAGTAGAGAAAAGATTAATTTCCTTTAAAAATATCTATCCGAAAGTCTTTTCCTAAATGTGGGCTTCTGGTGCCACATTTAAAATTGCAGGGCAAGTTAACAATTAAGCCCATTTGAGCTAGAGTTAACCAGCAAGGATTTTTGCTTGTTTTTCTTTCAGCCCAAATTTAGAACAATTTGTACCCAAAAGACAGAGGGCAAGGATGCTCAAAGAGAGGAAGGAAAGTCCCTTTCTCTGAGGTCCGTACTGCAAGTACTTTTGTAAAGAACTTGAGAGGCATTGTATTCTGGCATGTTGCACCTGCAAGCTAAAACCGCGGAAGCTAAGGTCACTGTGAATACTTAAGCCGTAGACCGGGAGAAGGTATTTACAACACGTATCACCAAGAAAAGATGAATGGTCAGAATACATGAAGAATTCCTACAAGTCGGTAAGAAAAAGGCAAATTAATTTTTAAAGTGGGCAAAGATTCACTGGTCCCTTCGTAGGAGGAGAAAAAGAGGTGTGCCTGGCCCAGGCCTGCTGGAAAAGTCTGGCAAGCGTCTGTACCAATGCCACAGAGCTGGAGTAGTGCCATGCCCACGACCTGGAGAGCACATGGGAGATGCAGTTCTGTGCAGGCAAAAGGACCAGCCTCGGAAGCCAGGGCTAGCCTGGCACTGTGCTGCAGGGAGGCAGGATCCTCTTTCTGATCCCCAAAACATCCCCTTTCCTAAGGCCACTACTGCAAGAACACTTTGAACAAGGTTTAACTGGTGATAAACTGGGGAAATGCTGTGGCTTGGCCTGGTTCCTGACTCAGATGATCTGACTCCTGTCAACATTACTAAGACATCTACCCACTCGGTTCTTGGGTTCTTGAATAGTAGATAGATCAAACACATTCCAGAAGTCAGCACTCAGTGTTGCAAACCTGTGACACAGAGAGCTGGATTGGACATCTCATCTATCAAATCATCTAATCTTTTGATACATATCCCAAACACTCAAAAAGTTACGGGGAGATTTATAAAAGTTAATGCGTGAAAAAATTCCTTCTTAAAGCACCGACACTCATTTTCCCAAGATAAAACTTTATTTGAGGCATCAAGCAATATACTGAAAGAAGTGAGTCATGCACATGTAATGTTCTTATTTGTACATCTGATACTTTTTGTCCTTTTAAAAAGGGTGCCTAGTAAGCAAAGTTGAGAAGCACATATGCTTTTATACATAACTCTATCTATATTGTGCTTAAGAAAGTCTCCTTTAAGTTTCATTTTTACTTCCTTAAAAGGCATGTTGGTTTTATTTGGGAAAACTAAAATAAACTAGTTCTTCCACTGAGGATAAAGTTTCTCCCCAGAGCTATTTATGAAATGATGCAGCTGCCTTTTTCTTTAAAGGGATTCTTGTCTTCTGGGATTCCTTTCACCAGAGGGTCCTCTCCAGAACGCTCTTCGATATAGTTCTTTATTTCTTCCGAACATTTAGACACCTTAAGTACAGGGGGAAAAAAAGAATGGATGAGGTCAGAGTTGTTTAAACTTTTTCACCACCTTTTAGTGAACTTAATAGCATTGAAAACAACCAGCTTTTAAAAGTTTTTTAAAAAAATGTATATATAATCTCTGTGCTGCACTCTAATATTTTTTTATTCTATTCTATTTATATATGATGCACTCTATATAAAATGCTTTTCTGATTACTGGTCAGGCTCAAAAAATTTGAAAGTCACTGTATTAAATAAATCATCCTCAGCAATTTTTATCCATTGTGCCTCATGTGATTTCCTTCCTCTATTAAACTACAACTACGACATGTCTACAATATTTTAGGAACTAAAACATACTCTGCTTTCAATTTTCCATGCTAATGAGCAGGTGAAATAGTAGATAATCTTCAAATGTTTTGGGGTGTGACATACCACGATTCTCTTACAAGTATTTGCTATTTCCTGGAATTTCACAAAATGATAGAAGCATTGGAAAAAGACTGACTCTGGAAAGGATGGCATTGCCCAAATATCCCACTCTGTGTCTCTGCTCAGAATTCCTTCTTGCTGCATGAAGGAAGGAAATGATCATAATAAAAGACTTATTTGAGGCTTATTAGGCTTATCTGAGACTAAACTTTTTCTGCAATGGAGAAAGGATTGAATAGATTCTTCAGAAAGTGTATCCTTAAGAGACAGGTTGCAAGAGTGAGTTTTTTTAAAAAAAAAGAATAAAAAGGAAAAAAAAGGATTAGGGTGTTAATGAAGGCCTGTATTACTCATAAGAAATTAGAAGTAAAAATTATGGAAGCTCCAGCGAATTTCACTGTAGACCTATTAAAATTTGGAAAATACTCTCATTTAATTTGAAATATATAATAGTGACCTCAGACTGTTTTAATGGTTATCACTAAAACATGTTTGCATATGTATTCCAAAATGTATATAATTATTTACCTATAAACAAGTACAAATACTGCTGTGTTAATAATATATATCATGCATAACTATAAAACATAACCTGGAAATTATCAAAGGACAAGATTTAAAACTAAACAAAGATAGAAAACCTTAATTGTTTACTCCCATGTCCCAAAAGGTTATTCTTTGCACACCAGTGTGGAGACTTCTGATCTAAAATTTAAAACTAGTTGATGTAGTTATGTGACTTAAAATGTGGCAAAATAAAATCTTTCCAAGTACCATTCTTTTAGGTAACATTTGCTCTCAATTATTGTTGACATTCATAGTGTGTGTATTTTAAATAAACATCAACAAATTGAAATAACTGGGGTCTGCGGCCCACAGAGACATTTCTGGATAAGATTCATATTCCAGATACATGTTAGATACATTGTATCTGTTCTTTAGCGGCTTTTCATTGGTTTCCAAAGAGATCTGTAACCCTAAAGTGTAATTATTCTTGACGCATTGCCTTCTATTATCAGAGGATTATGTTTGACCAATAAATAGCTGGAGCCTGAATGCAACTGTGAATTTTGTCATTTGGCCTGAGCAGAGCACAAAGCTCAGATGTTAACAATTTGTTGACAGAATAGTGGACTAGGCATCAGAGAAGCATATTTTAGTACCTGCCCTATCACTATCTCTGTGGTCCTAAATGAGGAGCTGGTTTAGTCTCTCTGGGACTTGATTTCTTTTGTTTTGTATTTTCACCCCTAAAGCGAGGAGACTGAAGATCTCTAAACCACAATGCTTGTCTAGCATTAATAATCTATAATTGAAGTGCATAATTAATATTTGAATACTATTATTAGGACTTAGGTGCCATGCTGCTTCTCTAGCTCCTAAGGACATGTATCCCTGAAGTTTTTCTCTCTCTGGCACACACTAGGGATTTCTGGAGTGGAAAGTTGATGCAGCAGGGTGTGTCAAAGGGTGGAGTGGCTGGCAGGGAGAAACTGATGATGAATGATATGTTCAATTCCACACAGTCAGTTGCATCCAGGTTCTGGCTAATGCTATTTGAAACTTTAATAGTAAAGTGTGTCTCTTTTTCTCCTATAAATTCTGTACAGTGATACCAAGTATTAAGATATTCCAACTTTGCACGCACTGCTTGACTTTGGCATATACAACTATGTTAATATGCAAACTTTAAGGTTTACTGTGTGAAAAAATCTAAGTGGCCAACACTTGCTATACAGGGAACTTTGCCATGCATAAAGTGGATCCCTTAAAGTCTCAAGGAAAAGCTTATTAATTGGGGTACTGTAACTTCATTTTTTCCCCTTTAAAACACATTGGTATCTTTAAAGCAACAAACTCCTCAACATGGAAAAAAAGAACATTCAGTAAAAATCTAAGAAGAGCAGGAATTTGGAAGTGAAAGTTTAAATCTGAAAAAGAGACATAGAGTAAAATGCAAAAGGCCTTCATCTTCCATCATCACCCAATAGTAACAAAGCACTTGTGAATAGATAATCAGAACTTGAGCAGCAAGGCACATTGCAACACTTTTATTTCCATTGTTTTTCTTTTCTCTTTTCCTAGTACCAAATGCATCCAGGTTCCGGATATAGCTAATTTGAAACTTTAAATAAGTAGAAGTTATTTGTCTCTTTTTTTTTCCTCCCTATAATCTGTACAGTGATACCAAGTATTGATATCCAACTCTGCACAGCACTGCTTGACTTTAGCATATACATATGTTTAATATGAAAATAAATCAGTTCAATTTTTTGCAGTAGAGAAAAGATTAATTTCCTTTAAAATACTATCCGAAAGTCTTTTTCTATACTCCAGGTTGCTGATTGGTTTAAAAAGAGGAAGAAAGATTAGTGTCTAAATGAAGGCCCTAATAACTCGTAAGAATTTAAGTAAAATACAAAACCCCAACAAGTTTTGGTGGAGAATTCTGAATCACTGGGGCATATGTTCTCATTGAAATTGTAATCATATCAGTGGTCTCTAAATTTTAAAATTGTGATTAATCGTGATTATACTGTATTAATCCATTATGAAGACTTATAAAAATAACTGTATGAAATCACAACAAATAAAAATAGAATTCTAATATTTTGTCCCAAGTTCCAGTGACGTCTAGCACATCACTGAAGACACCGGTGAAATTAAAAACTAAGCAATATAGTTGTGAGACTTTATTATATATCGGTTTCAGAATAATTCTTTCAAATGCCATACTTTCCAGTAATGTGAAAGATCAAAGACCCAAGTGCTATGTGCCTTTTTCCTACGATTGAGCTTGAAAACCAGCTGTCTAATAAAGACAAGATTCTGTCTGTTTCCCCATCTCTCGGCTCTTAAGTGTCGTTAGGACAACTGGCTTTAAATTCCTCATGGGACCGCTTGCTCTCTCCTTTACCTCCTATGAGTTTGCCCTATCAAGTGGCATTTCCCAGCCCTGCCAAAGCCTCCTTCAGAAAAGCCTACCAGGAAAGAACAACGAACAAACCCCCAAAATTGCCCGTTTTTACTGAAGTAACCGGGCAAAGCTGACCCTGGCTCATGTCAGAGAAGAAACCATTCTGGAACAGCCCATTACTGCTGTCTCTGCACATTCACTTCTTTGCGAAGTTGCTCAACTTCCATCTCAGTTTTTCCTTCTCCGGCAAATCCTCGATGTGAAAGCGCAGGCATTTCGCCCAGGACTGGCGCCAGGGCTGGCGGGGACAGAGAGCCGCTGGCAGTGCCGCGGTCCGCGCGCGCCGCGCCCGAAATAGCTGCGGCTGGCCGCCCGCCGCCCAGGCGCGCCGCCAGCGCCCGGCCGGCTCCTGCGGACGGGCCCCGTCACGCCAGCCTGCCCGTCCTGGGCGCTCAACTCCCGCGGGCCTCTTCCAGACCTCGCAAACCCCCACCCGGCGGCCCCGGGCGCTGGGTTGGGCCGGGTTGGAGGCCCGCCTGCAAGCTGCTGGGTCCGGCAGGGATGCTGCTGGCTCAGGCGCGGCTGGGCTGGGGCAGACAAAAGTGTGACTTTTTGTCCCACCCTCCCCGTTTTTTTCCGTTTCTAAGTCACATCCGGGTTTTGTTTTGAATGAGAAAGCAGGACATTACCCAGCAGAATAGCGGCCCTTCACCTGCAAGTTTTAAAAATATGCTGTATATAACTTTTCCCTACTGTGTGTGTGTGTGTGTGTGTGTGTAAGTGTGCGTTTATTTATTTACTGTGTGGGAAATGTGGACACTTGCGAAAAGGCCCAAAGAAAAATGAAACTCAGCTAAGAATCTAGAAATTGCCCACAGGAGCCTGTTGGTCTATAGCCATGTAGTCTGTTAAAGGCCTAAAACGAATTTAATCCAGTTTGAGAGAAAAGGAGAGATCAGGGTAGGAATGTTGGCCAACCCTCGCGCGGATGTTTTGTGTCATTAAATAATCATCTATGTCCTCAACAGCAGAGTGTTTATTTTTTCTTCGGGGCGGGGAGATGTTTTGTAATGAGTGGGTGATAGGAGAGAAGACAGAAGTATCTTAAAGTTCTCACCCCAAAGGTTGGGAACACCTGACACCAAGAATTTTGAATTCCTGGCTCAAGCGCCTTCCTGGACGCAGGCAGTGGATTCAGTTAGTGTTGGCTTCTCCGCTTTCTGGAAAGTATTGCCCATCTAGCTGGCACTTCGTGAAGCCAGGAAAAATGTCTGATGTGAAAAATGTTTACATGCATTAAAACTTTCCCTTTGAGGATAACCAAAAACCTTGTTAATGGAACTCAGAAGACTAGAAGAAAAATAAAACATGAATGTAAGAAACTTTAACAAGCAGTTGGATATTTCTTTTTCTTTCCAGAGACAACGTCCTGCCTGATAGTCAAATTCAAGTAAAGAGTGGGGCATTAACTGAATATTTCAGGGTACCTAATCTTAGACACCCATAGCCATTCCCTGTTTAGTCAGAAGAGTTTTGTTTGTTCATAGTTTCTCGGCGTGCTCCACCCACTTATCCTCAATTATATTAGAGTGAAAAGGACAAAATGAGCTACTTAGTGAGCTCTCATTGGTTAGGGTCCCAGCTCTGCCACTGGCCATCACTGGAAAAGTCACTTCAATTTTTCTGGGTTTTGGTTTTCTAATTTGTAAAATGTATAATGAGGCAGGGGAGGAAATGAATTGGCTAACTAGAGGTTGCACCTCTAGTTGCATTTATATGTCTATATATGATAATGACTTTCACAAAAGTCATGGCATTTGAAAGTATGGCATTTGAAAGAATTATTCTGAAACCGTATATTAAATAAAGTCTCACAACTATATTGCTTAGTTTTTAATTTCACCGGTGGTCTTCAGTGATGTGCTAGGAGCAGTCCACTGGAACTTGGGAGCAAAATATTAGAATTTCTATTTTTATTTGTTTGTAAATTTCATCCAGTTTATGTTTTATAAGTCTTCATAATGGATTAATATAGTAGTAATCACGATTAATCACAATTTTAAAAATTGTGTATGAGATCTGGCTAAAATCAAATCAGTCTTAATAAAAATAACAATGAGGTGTTTTGTTTTTATTTTTCTTGCTAAAGCTTAAACATACCCATATGTGAAAAACACCTTCAAAGTGCAAGTAGCTAAAATGATGATGCTGTAGTATCTATAATAGTTCATTTTCACTAATGAGATCAGAAAGTTTTGTTGGACAGCCAAATGTTAAGGTTGGAGTAATTTTTGTTTCCCTGCAGTCTTGCCTCATTCTCTTTAACCTAGTAAACCCTGGCCCTGAAATAACAACTTCTGAACAAAGCAGAGTCGCTGCTGGTTATAGCTGTGTAGCCTGTGGGACAATCATGATTTCATTTCCTACTTCCTGGACCATCTTTCTCTATACTTCCTTCCTATGATGTTTCTCTTATTCAAAATTCTGCTGATCACCTGTATTTTTAAGCATCAGGAAGTTTACCCTACTGTTGATTTAATCATCAGTTAAGCCAATAAGGATTCTGAATTATCCAATAGAAACATTTCATATACACTGTCTTTGGTGCTTTTAATTGAATTCAGTATTTATGAAGTCAACTAAATTGTAGAGATAATTTGTTAGTTGCTATATCAGTTTCAAAGATGAACAGAGCTCTGGCTTGGGAAATTTACAGTGTAGCATTGAAATTCAGACAACCATACGAATTATAAGAGAAAGTAAAGTAATGTTAAATACCTGAGACATACAAAATACTCTTGAGGTAGACTGAGGAACAGATAGTCTCAGAAGAGGAGTAGGATTTCAAAAGGCTGAAATGGGATGGAGTAGAGGGACAGTTCAGGTGGAGGGATTAGCATTACCAAATTCCAGAAGATGGGACAATGTGGTGTCATGTCAGGGATTATTTAATAGTTAAGTTTGTTGACTACAGGAAGTCTACAGTGTAATAAAGGACATTTATCTGGCTTCTTTCTATATACCTATCTCTGATCTAAGGGATTATGAGTATCCATCCTAATTGCCCATTTTGTAAGTGGAAAAAAAAAATAGATCCAAAGAGTTGAAGTTATCTGTCCAAAGTTCTCAACTAGAACATAGAAGAACCAGAGTTTGAACTTAGAATCGTTAGGCTCAAAAATCTATCTTCAGTTGTAAAATGAAAGCTAGAGATGTTGATTAGGACTATACTCTACATGTTACCGAATGCCAAAGTGTTTGTATTTATTTTAGTAAAAAAAAAGATGTATGAAACACTTCACTAAATGAATACTAACTTGCAGATGGAAAACTTCTAGACACAGATCACAATTAAATGAATACATGAAATACAGCGCACCGCATGGTGACTGGTGTTATGGAGGAAAGTAGAGTGGAAAGGAAGGTGGGAAGTGCTAGGGGTGGATGGAGAGGGTTTTTGTAATTTTAAGTGGAAGGAAAAGAGCTTCTCCTGTGGAAAAAGAGGTAAGAGATTCATTTATCCTGGAATCCCTTAATATTCAAAGCGTATTTGCTGAAGATACATGTTGGGGGATGTTGCTCACTATTCAGCCAGAGACCCAAAGTCTTGACCTGTGAAAGCTGCCAATTCACTTCTCTGAGCCTTTATTTTCTCCTTTTCAAAATGAAGGGACTGGACAAGAGTCAACAGATACTGGTTGAACTCTTACTGCCTTCAGAGTGGGAGGGCGCTGTGCTAAGTACGACCTTCAGAGTTTGTTCCAGACCATATAATAGATGACTTTTATTTGGTTTTTTAAAAGGATGACAATCAATTAGCATTTCTGAGTGTTTTGATCACTGAGGTATGCAAAGTAGCCCTGTAAATGTGAGATAACAATAAGAAAACACTGACAACAAAAGTAGTTTCTGATTTGAGGTAATTATACTTGTCAGTTGTTTCAGACGCAGAAGCAAGTTATCTCTCTTAGTCACTGACACAAAGGTTGTGAAATTTGGTTCATGCAAACTCAATAAGTTGCTGGAAGGATGCTGATTAGTAGGACGACACAGGTGTTAGCTATTTTCTATCACTTGCCCTCATCTTGCTGTAGAAACACTATGCTGGTGAGGCTTTTCATGGGGATGGGATGGAATAGCATATATCTTAAAGGATTTGTCTAGTTGCTTTTTCGGTAATCATACTAACACTTACTGGGTTTTACTATGTGCCAGGCGATATGTTAAGCGTTATAGTTGCACTAGTGTATTATCTAACCTCCATCAAAAGTAGAGGATAGAATCATAATCTTTATCTTACAGTAGAAGAAACAGATTTAAAAAGAATTATGTAACTTATTCACTTAAGCAGTGAAGTGACAGAGCCAGAACTCTCTGGCTCCGAAGTCTGTGCTCATAACCTCTATTCTGGTGCTGGTTAAATTCACTGTGCTCAGTGACCACACATTGAACCCTTAATCCAGTTGGCATTCTGGGAAAAACTCACATCATTGGTGACAAGTAGAATTGGGTAAGAATGCAGGAAGAAGTTACGTTAAAACCATTGCCATTGACTAAGAGGTGAGGGAGAAAGGGAAACAGAAAATAAAACAGCAACAACAAAAATCTTTGCAGCACATACTCGTGCCAAAATAGGTGATCTGTGTATCAAAAGAATAGACTTCCTAATTCTGTAAGCAAGAGAATGTTTGGGAAAAATATGTCTAACCATAATATTTCTGGGTAGAATATTATAAGAGTTGAAAGGGAAATGGAAAACCATAAAACTATATACTAGCAACTCAGAATAATATGGAATCATCACAAAACATAGTAATTATTTTTTTACCATGTTTGCAGCTTTTTAATTTTTTAAAATTATTTTATTTTATTTTATTTCGGGATATAATGGGGGTACAAATATTTTGGTTACATGTTATGAATTTGCCTCACCCAAGCCAGGATTGGAGGCATGCCCTTTCCCCCATACAATGCTCACCGTCTCCACTAGTTGTGAGTTTACCCATCCCCCAATGACTATTACTACCATGTGAGCACCTTAGTGTTGATCCGTTAGTGCCAATTTGATGGTGAGTACATGTGACGCTTATTCTTCCATTCTTGTGATACCTCACTTTGGAGGATGGGCTCAAGCTCTATCCCGGAAAATATAAGAGGTGCTAGATCACCATTGCTTTTTTGTAATTGAGTAGTATTCCATTGTTTGTATATACCATATTTTGTTAATCCACTCATGAATTAATGGGCACTTGGGTTGTTTCAACATCCTTGCAATAGCACTATTAGGCATCTACCCAAAGGAACAAAAGATATTCCATAATAAAGACATCTGTACACGAATAGTAATTATTTTTCAAGAAGAATCAGTGTCTATTGTCATTTATGTTTTCAATCCCATGCTAAATACTTTAAGAAAAACATACGCATGTGTTATCACTTGCCAATTTTTATTAAAAGTTTACATTTATAAATTCCAAAATTCATGTACATACTTAACAGTATTATTGCATATGAGAAAATTTGTACTGTCATTAAAATTTGAGATATTCCAAGGATTATTTTTCTTTTTTTTATGAAATCACACAGCCTCCTTTGAGCTCCTTGAATGGATTTTTGTCCTCTGGGATACCCTTTACTAGCGGATCTTCCCCAGATCTTTCTTCAATATAATCCCTTACTTCTTCACAACATTTGGAAACCTCAAAGAAAAGGAGAAAGAGATGACTCATTTGGTTTAAAACAGAATAATGCAGATTTCAAGAATTTATTTATTACAGTACACTTTCATGTTGTATTTTTTTTAGTGTGATTCTCTCTGCTTTCTGCCAATGTATGTATATTTTCTAGGAAAGAAGAAGAAAGAACTGCTCTCTTCTCCAGCCTCCTAGATATCTCCAGACAAAGGCTAAACAGCTGGCCACACTCCAGCTGAGGGTTCACAGCAGACTCTGCCTCCAGCTTCTTCAAAGGAAACAAGATCCAGGGATCAGAACGCAGCTGGCAACACAAGTCAAGAATGTCATCAGAGTGAATATTGATTAAATCTTTTTCCTCATTCCAAAAATATGACTTGTAAAGGTAGAAAAGAATGAATAATGATTAAACGTCAGGCTTATCACCACACCTGAATTCTCAGAAGTATACTCATGTAATTTTACTTTAAACCCATCTACAACGATTGAGCACTGCAGTGTGCTAGGTAAGCTCCAAGAGGTGAGGGACCTTTGGCTGATTTCTTTAATGCATCCCAGGCATCTAGAACAGAGCCTTCCATTAGTTAGTGCTCAGTGAATAATATTTGCTGTACTAAATCATTTGTTTTGTTTACGAGCTTGTTCTTTCATTTGTACCATTAAGGTAATGATTTAGTAAAAATCGGGTGTTAATTTTTTAATGGACTCAGCGAGAACCTGTTAATGTACCATTTAACACTCCTTCTAGAGACAGCCAATATTCTGTACATATGTAAATATAAATGTGTGTGTGTACACATACATACATATTGACTCAAATTATTCAAACCATTTTAGCATCAACTTGTTTTGCTTTCAATTAATACACCTTTCATGACAGTGACACAGAACTACTTTATTTTTGGCAGTCCATTAAGTGGCCATTCCATAAGTTATTTAATCAAAGTGTTGGTTTTTTACAATAAAATCCTTGTGCCATTTTTGTATGCAAATTCCAAGCAACATGGGACATAAAACTTAAAATTATTTTACAGCTATGCAAACTCATTAACTATGTATTAAAACAAATTATTTCCAACTGGGTCAAAGAAGCATTGGTCAAGTGTCTCCTTCATAGGATGATATTGCAGATTTATACACACTTTTGAAACATGCAGTAATTTAGATTCACCTTTTCCCCTTCAATGGTCCCACACGCTCCCCCAAACCCCAGCTCTTCTGGTCCTATCCAGATGACAGGAACAGAGGTGTCAATTGCTGTTCTTAATTCAGGAGTCAGCAAGGGATTGGTTTTGACAGTGTCTGGCTTGGATCTGAGGATATGAGGATTAACAAATTACCTAAAATTATGTATGTGTATATGTTTGAAAATTATTTCAGTGAGGCTTCTTATAAATATATATAGTTTAATACAGGATTCCATGGCATAGTGGAAAGAGCATGGCCATTGGATTCAGGCCACTCTATGTGTGAATATTGGCTCTGCTCATTTACCAGTTATACAGCCTTAGTTGAAGTAGTTCATCTAAGGTTCAGCTATTTCATCTATAAAATAAGAATAGCTACATTGGTTGTCTTAAATGTCTAACAAGTGCCTGGCACAAGAAGATGCATGATCAAATGGTAGCTGTTTTTAGTTATTACTACAAAGATCGTCTTTAGTCACTGCTTATTACATTGACTTCTAGTCATTGCAAATCTGTCAGCTTTAGAAACTGGATGCTAAGAGTTGTCTTACTCTGACAATGCTACTTCCTTGACAACATCATTGATTGAGGCATAGTATGAACCAGTCTGGTTTGTAAATACCAATAATGATTTTTAAATAATAACAATAATAATAGGATAGAAAGCACTTGCTATTACCAAGTATTTTTCTCAAAGCTTTGCATATATTATTCCATTTATTCCTCTCAATTGCTGTCTGAAATAGATGGTATTATTGTTCCCATTTTGAAGAAACAGAGGCACAGGTAAGTTAGGTAACTTAGGCGAGAGTTACTCAGGCTAAAAGCTGTTGTGGAGCCATGATCTGAACTGGGAATATGTTTCCAGATTCTATCCACTTAACCATGCTGTACTGATACTATGTCATCCTGTGACAGAGTTATGGGTTCAGGACCCGGAAGTTCCATCATATATATTAAATATGATACTATTATATAATGATATGAATATCATATATAATATAATATTATACATATATATTAGAATAAATGTTTGTGCCCCCCCCCAACAAAGTCATATGTTGAAATTCTAACTCCTGAGGTAGGATTTAGGGGAGGTGATTAGCTTATGAAGACAGAGCCTTCATAAATGAGATTAATGACCTTATAGAAGTGACCCCAGAAAGCTTCCTCACCCTTTTCGGCAGGTGAGGACACAGTGAAAAGACAGGTATCTGTGAATGAGGGAGCGGGCCCTCACCAGACACCGAATCTAGTGCCTTGATCTTGGACTTCCCAACTTCCAGAACCGTGAGAAATAAATTTCTGTTGGTTATAAGCCACCCAGTCTACGGTATTCTGTTACAGCAGCCTAAACAGTAAGATAATATGTGCATATGTGTGTATATAAGTGTGTGTATGTGTGTGTATGTGAGCGTGTGTGTGTATACAGGAAGTTTTTGTAGTTTGATATTAAATTAGTTTGACTTCCAAGAGCAAGGAGACATTGAATAATGAGTATATAAATAATTAAACAGCTTTTTGGATATTTCAAGTTAAGAAAAACAATAACTCTCCTTTACCCCAAAAGTTTATTTTATTTACCCCAAGTTAAGGTAAAGGCTATAACTTGTTTGGTGTGTGTTATATGCTTTTGTGCTAGTTGTCGATTTAACTTTATCTTTATAGCAAAACATGTTTTTTTTCTGTACGGAAAGGGCACCAGGGAAGTTTGAGAAAATTTAAACATAAAAGAAGCTAAACATCCCAATTTTAATTGTGAGTAGGAGTTTTGTGCAAAGTATGAAGATAATACAAACTCCTTTTTTTACTTTGTCCTGATAAAATGAGATGTTTTCAAAATAGAAGATATACTTTTATCTCTTGTGGAGGGGTTTTTGTTCTATTAACATCCCTAAAAAGAAGATATCTAGAATACATATCTACATTCTCCAAGTTTCAGTCACTATTTGGTGGAAATTTTAATTTCTTTGACATTTCTGCTCCTTCTAATGGCAAAGAAGTCTTGGTAAACATTTCCAAGATTTATCAGACATTTTTAGGAGGAACCAGTGTGTTCTTGTGCTTAAACTTATCTTTATTTGCCAAAGAAGAATAAAATGTACTCATTTATTACTGACCATGATAGTACTGGAATGGATGAGTTCATAGCTTAAAGGATTTCAACAATATCAAAATATTGCATCAGATAAGTACAAACATCAATTTAGAAAAGTAAAAACAAAATGACTATTATGCATGACTTCATTTTATTGTTTGCTAAAATATGTTCTCTGTCTCATATTTTTCTTCTTTCTCTCTTTCCTCCTTTCCTCTTTTCTTTTTCTGTCTTTCTCTCTCTCTTTTTAACAACTCTTTAAAAATGTAAAAGCATTCTTAGCTTTGCGATCATATAAAAACAGGTTAAGGGTTGGGTTTGATCTATGGAAAATATTTTGACAACCCCTTGATATAAGAGTCTAAATCAATAGATGATTGTGATTATTAATTTTCTTAATCTTGGATAAGTTTTTATATGAACAATTTATTTTTAACAACATTGAGCCTCTCCAGTCAATGTTATCCAATCTGGTACTTCCAGAGTATCTAATTTAAAATAAAATTGAAAGAGAGCAACAATTTACCATCATTCTTTCCAGGGTCACTTCTTTCTTGAGCTGGTCAACTTCCATCTTCAGTTTGTCCTTTTCTGTCAGGTCCTCAATATTGATTACTGGCATCTTTTGCCTACTGAAAAGGTAGAAGGTTAGTGCATATACCTGAATTGCTGGACTCGATTCAAATCAGTCTTCCATTAGCTCTTAACTTACTAAGTAAACTGTTCTTTGTTCTATTTTAAATTTCTCACAGTAACCAATTTCTCCTGAGGTCTCTCTGGCTCTCTCTGAACAATTCTAGCACTGCCTTGGGATTTTAAAGCTTCTTCATAATCTTCACTAATATGATTAAATCAAGCATTTGACTCTAAACACCTGTCAGTAGGTTTGTGGGGAGAGGTCAGCTGAGTCAGTATGTAATCTAAAATCCTTAAAGCTCCTCCTTTCCCCTGGTCTTTTGCATAGTGTAAAATTTTGGGTTTCCAATCCTCATCTTCAATTCCAAAGATCTCCACTATATAATTTATGCCATTTAATTGAGAGGTCATTTGAAGGACTGCCCATTAATCCTGTAAATTGCTAGAGTATTTAATCTGGTATTAAAAGGGGGCCATATAAAAAGGGTCACTATAAATTCATTATAAATAATGAATTAAAATGTAAACCAATAGAATGGAAATGTGGAAAATAAATAATCCTTTTAATCAGAAATAAACTAACATATTACTTACAAGTGTTTCTCCAAACAATCCCTGGAATTTGTATGTAACTGTCACAATGAACTGGATAATGATGATGAGCAAATGTAGCAGGTTGAAGGGGACATAGTGAGTCTGATCTACCAATGTACATCGCACAAGAATAGATTATTTCTCCTGCCTTCTCAACAATCCTTCTCCCCAATGAAATCAATGGGTAATGGGGAGGATGGCTCAGAAGCTGGTGGTACTCCCATGAAATTGTCTGGAAAATATCTCATTGTAGCCAAGTGGCATCATGCCTACAGTCTCTTCTATTTGTCTCTTTAGTCCAAATTTTATAATGAAGTATTTTTTATAAAAGTAGACATAATCAGATGACATGATATTTCAGAGAACAACATAACATTGCACATCTATATGAAGATACACAGCTAATATTAATAATATATCAGTACTTCACCTATCTCTTTGTATTTATATGGTGTTTTCATTTCCAAACCTTTGAGGGAAATATTATTTCCCTTCCCAGTCTTATAATATCCTGTTCTTCTCTGAGAGATAGTTTAAGATATCTTTGGGGATCAATGCCTGCATAGAGCAGCACAGAAGTAGAGAACACCCTATGGGTATCCAAGCCCAGTGTTTCATATGCTTTTCATTTTTCACTATTCTGTTCATTATTTTAAGAAATAATATGACAATAAAATGGTATTTCTTCCCATGTAATAACTTTTGCATTTGAGAGCCCATTCTCATTTTCATTTCCACCTTCCTTCTTACCCCTTCAGACTATACATAAAACTCCCTAAGTATTTCTGCTGATCATTTTCACCTGTTGACAATGTTCTTTACATACTTTTCTTCATTCTGGAAAACGTCTCATCCCTCTAGGTAATGACTCTGACACTTCAGTGTGTGTAAGCATCACTTCAGGGAACTCGCTAAAATATGGGCCCAAGCTTAGACATTTTGATTTAGTAGATCTAGAGTAGGGTCTGGGTTTTCATTTTCTCTATTCCAGGGAGCCCTACCATATTATTGCCAATAAAATAATTATTCACTGGTACTTGCTAGCTGTGTGGGCTTGACAAAGTTACTTAACCTGTCTGTGCAACAGCTTGCTGGAAAATAGGAGCAAAAATATTGCCTATCTTGTCGATTTGTTGAGAGGATTAAATGGGCTAATGTAGATAAGGACTGTAACTGTGTAGCATAGAGCAAGTACTCAGTACATGTTAGCTGGTTCTCTTCACTCTGGACCTCTAGACTTCCAGACTGTACTTTCTTATATGGTACCTGCTGGTAGGTGATCTTATAGGTACCCTTAAAGGATATCATGTGTACGTGACTTGGCTCATTCTACACCAGGCATAGCATGGGCTGTTTTTGCCCTGCCCATATCTCCTTTTTCAAGGTCAGGTACCCATCCCAGCATCTATGACTGTTAACTGTCAATCTTCTCACAGCTAGGCCTTTGGCTGATGGGAACCACTTTACCTGGTGATGCCTAAGACATTATGCGCCCATCTTGTCCCTGAGGTTACCCTGTAGAAAATGGCTGGCTTATGTGGGGTCCTAGCAGCCTAGCCCCTTGCCTCTAGGCTGAAAAACTTTGTCATAATTGAGAACCTTCCAGAGATCCCCATGGGGATGGTGCAAGACTTCTGAAACCACTTTTGACTGACTTATCCTTCTGTCCCATCCTGCTTTCCTTACCCCTTCAGAAGTTCCTCCTGAGAACTTTGCCTCAGTAAATCACTTCAGCAAGAATCCCTTCTAGGAAGCCCAACCTAAGACACAGTGGATTATTCAGGCCATACCTTTCATAAATTTTATGTCCTCATTACTGTTTATTGTTCTGTATATTGTTTGGTATATAGAAGGGAACCAGGAAATATTGATAAAGTCAGTTAACCTATGTCATAAATATTCTACACCTAGATGTCGAAAAATATGCATATTATCTAACTTCATTTTATTAAATGATTTCTTAACTCTAAAATGCTATGATTCACGATGTTTAATAATATTTAATATTAAAAACCCTTCATTAAGAGGAAACATTTTTTAGAAGATTTGAGAATGCTTGTTAAATTTGATGTCACAGGTCTTGTGTGAAAAAAATCAAAGAGTGGGGATCAAAATTTTCACTTCCCTAAAGAACACAAAGGACAGTGTATACAGTCTACACAGAGATTCCAAATGTTCAGTTATATTGAAGCCAAGGATAAGAATTCAGATATAGCATCATCTAATTTACTCTCTATTCTATTTTGAAGATGAGGCAAAGGCACTTTGGAAAGTTCAAATGCCCAAACTCACACAACCAGAGGCAGTAGAGTTGAGATTACAACACAAGTGTTTGTTTCCAGATCTTGGGTGTTTTCTACTCCAGCACATTTCTCTCTGCTACCCTTCTGCAAACTAGTGTAAAGGAGTTGATTTGGTTTTTCATACCCCAGAATTACATGCAAAGTCCAGAGTTGATGACAAATGGCTCTAAATTCTTCCCCTTGCTCGTCATACACTAAGCCTTCAGGTTGGTTACCTCTCCATGAAAAGTCTTTAGATAAGCTAGGTCAGATTATTGACCCTGTTATCAACCATCCTCACCCCACTTTCAGTCAAAATATAAAGGGAAGACTGAAGACCCATAGCCAAACAAGCTAAGATAGCTGTTACAACTAAGGGGAAAACATACCCCAGTTAAGAAGGGTGTGTGTTTTATCTCTTTATCCATCCTTCACTACTACCGTTAGTGGATCTAAGGTCCAAAAATGCAAAGAAAGGGGGAAGGAACTATCTTAAAGTTGAACCCCATCCAAATCTGTGGCTTTCACTGGGAGGAATACTGCCCCCTAGAGGCTCTTTATGAATATATGTCAGGTTGTTTATTATGGTTTTCCTTAGTTTTCATGGGTGCAGATGAGGGATGTCAGATATCTAGCATTTTCCAGGACTTTGCTGCATAAGATGAACTGTGCCACATTTCGCATAACTGTAAAATATAATGTAAGACATTCACATAGACAAAAACCATATTTACTTGAACCTTGAACCTCAGTTCATTTTACATATAAACATGAAATATTTTTCATATTTGGTTTCATTATATTTCATGTAATGGTTGTTAGATACACTGAATTTTACAATAATGTAAATATTTTATAAATAAAGGGAAGATAATGAACCAAAAACTCTTTTACACTTTCAGAAAAATCATGTCACTGACTACAGCCATGAATATGGCATATATGTTGGTCTGTATTCTTAGCTGTTAGGTCCGTGGTGATTCTACACATAACAAGCATCTGACCACTTCATTATGTTTAGTGATAATAAAGATTTTCATATTGAAACCCATCTTTATTCTTTGTAATTTGCTGCTTTATTGTATTCTGCAAAGAGCATTTACGTACCATATTGATGGTTTTAAATAAGCTACTATGAGATATTTTTTATAGAAGCAAGATTCTGGGTTAGACAGAACTCATGGTCATAGAACCCCAGAAGGGGAGGAGGAAACTCACATTGTGTTGACTTTTCTTGATCTTACACACCAGGATCAGTTTTTACTAGCTGAATATGGCCAACAATGATGATACCAGTTTAAAGAATTATTAAGGGAGTAGCTACTCATTGAGAAATGAGAGTTAAAAATAGCATAGTTTGTGAGGCAATTTCTGTCAAAACGAAACATTTTTTAATGCTTATATTTCAATACATTAAGAATTCTTTTAAAAAGTTACGTTGACAAAGTGCAGGAAAAAAGCAAATATGCTCAGCAATGCAAGGTCACAACAAACAGAGGAGTGGGAGTTTCCTTAACTACATAATGTTTTAGTGATTTTTAAAAACACTTTGGGAGAACAGAACTCTTTAGGGTAGCATAAGTGCCTCATGATGTCTTTCAGAATTTCCATCCAGTTTCTTGTTAATTAATTTTAGGATCAAAGTGAGCTACTATAAAGTTCAAAGGCTGCCTGCATCAAATTACCAAAGTCATATTTCACAGATGCAGAAAAAATAATTCTAGTATTCATTTGGAACCAGAAAAGAGTCTGAATAGCCAAAGCAATCTTAATCAAAAAGGACAAAGCTGGAGGCATCACATTACCAGACTTCAAACTATACTACAAGGATATAGTAACAAAAGTAGCATGGTATTGGTACAAAAATAGAGATAGACCAATGGAATACAAGAGGACAGAGAGCCCAGGTATAAAACCATCTGTCTACAATCAACTGATCTTCGACACAATAGACAACAATGTACACTGGGGAAAAGAAGTCCTATTCAATAAATGGTGCTGGGAAAATTCTATAGGCATATGCAAAAGAATGCAACAGGACCCCTACTTCTCAGCACTCACAAAAATTAATTCAAGATGAATAAAAGTCTTAGATCTAAGAAATAAAATCATAAGAATTCTAGAGGAAAATGTAGGTAAAACTCTTCATATGGATGTATACTTACTCATTCTATACCATTCTTTTTCATCCTAGCATTTTACTTGGAACTATAAAAGCAGAACAGCTAACA